TGCTTTGCTTATATTTGTTTGAAAATGTTTGGCAACGGATGTATAACTGCTGCTGTGTATTTGTGTATCTTCCTGCCGGCTTTCAAAGTTTATTTCATGCTTGTGCGTGTGTGTATGTTTTTAAGAGAATTTTTACTATTTCACTACAGCACTTCAGCAGCAATAAAAATAAATACTAATATATGTATATATAGGATAACATCTCTAAAAACTGGAATTCTCTAAAAATGCCAGAAAAGGAAAAGATGACAACACAATGATGTAGGCACAAATATGTGCGCAACTAATAACAACAAAAGCATTATTTTCTTGATAAACACTTGCACTTGTCCATGAAAAAGTAAAAGCCAGCATAGAAAATTCTTTAGTCATATCCACAAGTTGCACACACAGATACATATCTGTATAGATGTCAGCAACTGAGTTGTTACTAACGAAGACTTAATGCCAAATACGTGGTCTCATCTTTAATTAAAGAGAATGAAAACAATTGTATGTATGTGCGTACGTATACGACTTCATAAGTAATGGCTATTATTGCTTGTTTGCTTTTAAGATTAAATATTGGATTTAACTGTGCTTTTACATTAATTTAAAACAAGCACTAAGGCGACTAAGGCGAATACCCATCATCAGCCATAAGCGCGTATATATATAAATATGCTACTTATTTGATCTCAAAGGATTTACCTAAGCATTTTTTGATGGCTGTCCGTAAACGTTCACGATAAATGTAACCATAACTCGAATAGACGCCCAACTTGATAATTACGTGTATTTAAGATTCTCAGCTTTAATGTGAGGAGGAGAGATGGACGGACAGACATTACCCTTACACTCTAAGAATGCATTTATAGGCATTCTCATCTCTTGTGACGGGACTGTACATTACTCAATTTTGCCATTTATCCATCAATTAGTCCTCATTTGCCCATAAGTGCTCATCAATGTCCGCTATTTCTCATTATTACTCACCATTTTCGAAACTTTTGCCCATTAATTTTTTGTCACAGCCCATTATTCGCCTGCCGTAAGCAAAATTTATTTTCTCTTCCTTGGCCACCATTTGCCCGTCATTTGTCTACCTTTCTCCATAATTTTCCCATATTTTGCCCATTATTGCCCATCGTTTGCTCGCCATTTTCGCTTGCCCATCATTGGCAATAATTGCCTACTATTTTTTTGTCATTTCTGTCAACCCTGAACTTTTCGATTACTTCAACCTTCAATCTCACATGTCAAATTTCAATTACCAGTCTTAGCTAACTGTCTTGAGAGTCCGTACATCACGCGAGTGTACGAATGAAAAACATTTCATAAAAAATTCTACATAAAAGTGCAACGGAAAAATTATTCAAAATAACAAAGTTGGAAGATGAATATGTATAATGTTTATTAAAATGTCTCCAAATATATAGTCAATGAACCGATTTAGCGTGTAGCGGAAAAGTGAAGAAGCTCAGATAATTACTAATAATCTAGATAACATTTTGCGACGGCAATTTTAATTATGAAGATGACACGGTTAAACCTATTCCGCTCTTCAAACCTAGGGAATCTGTTATGTGTACCGCGAACGTTCGCAAATGCTTAATTGAAATTAAATACTTTCTCGGCTAGGGAGGTAATAATGCGCCTAAAATGCAAAATGTACGTGATCTCGTCTGATTAAAATTGCTCTAGCGGCCGCCAGTCGAAACGAGTCTTATGCAGTCGCAACAATTAGAACGAATGGCTATGAAGTGGAAAGAAAGCACTTCAAATTAAAATTGCGATTTTAAAACAAACAATGACAATCGTGATTGCACAGAAGGACGGCAAAGATGCCGTCAAGTCTAAAGTTCGTTGTTCGTTGATGGGAAAAAAACTTCACAATCTAACTGGCTTTCGAAATTTGTACGCATGCATGACAATTAATTTGTCGCACGCATCGTAATACACCCAAGGACAAACGTACCCGAAGAGCAAAATCTCCACTCGCTTGTTAAGATAACAAGCTGAAATTACTTGAATTAAGAAACCAGGGTCAGGTATTAAATATTTTACTTTCTTTCTTAAAAATAGATGAACTTTTTAATCCATAATCGAGTTAACTGGTTTTTGAAAACTAACTACGGCTAGCTAACTAAAGCGATTCGTTGACTAGAAATGAACGGATTTTATCATGCATACTTCTGGGCTTGAGAACTGCTACGAAAAACTTAACATACTCTCCACAAGCAGCATCTGAGCTTCACTAACTTTATCTGACAGTATTCGTATAAATTAACTTACGGGACAGATATTTATTAAATTCTAAGAAAATATATTTTCTGTGTTATTGTTTAAATAAGTTGATAAAGCAAATACCATGAAAATGTAATTGAAGAAAAATATTTCAATGTTTTCCTCTGTCGGACGGACGGTTTTGGCTTTTTGTTTCCACGACGACACGACAAATTTCGTAGAGAATTCCAATGAAAAACAATTGGAATTTATAAATAAAATTTTTCCCTCCTATCAAAATAAATTTTGAATAAAAGTTTCGTGGTCTACGTGGCAATGAGTTGTTGTTTCCGCTACAGTGTTTAACTTGCAATGGAATTGGTAAAAAATGTTGAAAAATTTTCAAAAACGGCCTGCATATTAGATATGTCGCTTTCAAATGAAAAGAGCAAAATTTGACCGATTAATGGAAACACTCGAGAATGTTCATAAAAGCTTCACTCCCAATATGAGATTCCATTTGAGTGATATATTATATGCGTGTGCTTGACGACAATTCATAAACGTGATGAGTATAAAAACAGAAATACAACATAAAAAAAGCAGAAAAGTTTGACATTCTTCCGTACAAACAAATAAATAATCAATAAATAAATGAACGGAAACTATGAGAACAATTCATTTCACATTGCGACGTTGTATATGCATTGAAATTAAAATTAAAATTGCGAAACAATGAGAATTCGGAACAATTATTTTATTAATGCGCATATATATATATATATATCTATATTTATATTATATGAAATATTTAATCACTTATCCATATATACATACATACATACATATATATGCTCAAAGGAAGAATTAAAACAAATTACGATTGAAAATATTTCATTCATTATGCACGTGTGCATAAGCGGAGATTTTTGCAAATAACACTTTAAATATATAAATTAATCGAGGAAATTTATTGCATACAGTTTAGATCGAACCTATTCATACCCTAAGAAATCTTGTTGCGTGCGATTCGAATTTTTTTGCGTTTGCGAATCTTTTCTTCGCCTTACTTACCTCCTATTGCTTGTAAATTTTAGGTCTTCTTCTTCAATAATATGTTTTATCAAAAATATAAAATCCTTAATAAAATTCAACTCGATTTCATACATAATTATTACAAAGCTTAGTAAGCGAAATCATCAATGCATCATCATTGTCTATAGCATTTTCCCCTTTATCGGGTATGTTAAGGGCGCTTTCGCGGTAGCAACTAGCTGCACATCTTCAACTTCTGCAAATCCCTGATCTGCCAAATATGACCGCATCGATCGGAATAAGTGACAATGGGGTCTGAAGAAAATAGCGGATGCGGTAAAATTGTTTTAGTGAAGTTGTAGGCTTTGCTGTGTTCAATGTTTCGTCTAACAATAGCCATTACTTCTCTCATCTTCTATCCAAAATATGAATTAGCTGGAAAGAGGGAAGCTGGTCTTTCGAGGCATATCCAACATTTGGGCATGGCAACGTTCGGACAAAAAATACTCCATCGATTGAACTCCGTATTAATCGGAAGGCAGAATGTTTACTGTTAATAGCGGGGAGGGTGGGACATTGCAGATTACAACTGCAAAAATTTCTTGAATGAGTTTTAGTGCTGAACGAATTTTTCAACGCTGCAAACAAAAGATATCATGGGTTTTGGCATTTTGCACCCGTTTTCCGTTCCGTCTACTACATTTATTGTTGGCAGTGCTCGTTGGTGGTGGCTCCTTTTGATTGGAACAAACCGTAGCACATCATGTCCAGGTGATTACCGCAAATACGAGTATCATAAGTTTTCAGTTTTGTCATCGACCTTAATGGTTCGTCTACTTCGCTTTACAATGATACTTGGGTTTTGAATATCATAACGCAATCATCGTTCTTCAGTCGCAAGGATTTCAGAAGCAATTGCCGTCTAGGAAAAGTAAAGTTTCCTTTGCGCAGAGCTACACCTATTCGAAGCTCCAAGGAGCTATACGCTTTAATATAATTACTTAAGCAATAGTTTAAAGATAGCTTTTTGCAAAGAAGAAGTCACGGTCTTATTTATTAATCTGCAGGATACCTTAGGAAACGGGCAGAGCTATATTAACACTCCCAATAGTATCTAATTAAAAAAGTTTCCGGCCTTTGAGGCAACATATGACGTTATGGTCTGAAATGAATCGTAACATGTTAGCGTGAAATCTGTCGAAATTTTCGCACAACTGCACTGTATTATAAGATATCGTTTCCTTCACGATGTGCCTAATGTGCACCACTTTAAATAATACCCAGAAGTCGTACGAGGAGTTAGCAAATTCCGTTTTGGACACTCCCAGCCGTCCATCGTTCGTCGTGCAGCTTTTAAATAGATGGTGAATAAGGCCAAGGCGTAGAAAGGGCTACTAATTACATATGGAAAGGTGTGAATGCGAAAATCGATTTACTTTAAGTAAATAAACTTCGGGTTTTACTCGCTCTCTCTCTCTCTCTCTCTCTCTCTCCCTGGTGAGAGTTCTTACAACATAATTTCATGTCTATTGACAGACAGATGGACAGACAAAAATCAAATTTTATATTATATGAATGATATGAGGAATCTTTACTAAGCGTTTCTTGGCTATCGCTGAGCTTAGTATGTTTTCCTTAATGAATGCAAAAATATTTAAGATACAATTAATCTGAATTTAATAAACTGTGATCTGCATGCTTGTGTTTGTGTTTTTTTATATGTAATACATGTATATATATATATTTGTATGAGAACTTACCACATTCATGAAATTTGATTGTTTGGTTAATCGGGAAATTAAAAGTGTTTTGTCCAAGCTGAAAATAAAAAATGAAAAAGAGGCAAAAGGGCAAAATTAGGGTTAAAGTTAACATTGATTTAAATTTAGAGTTGAATTAAATTAAATGAAAAATCATCAATAAATAAACAGCAACGGTTGTCATGTGCGAATGTGTAAACACACATTTAAACTCTATTAACATTTAGATTTGTTTGTTTGTTCTATTATTTCCGAAAATACTTAAAATCTAAATAATTTAATTAATTCAATATGTGAATGTACTACTTATACATGTTATATATATATATATAGTAAGGCTTTTATTATTTATAAATCATAAAAGCCAAAGTGTATTCTCTTTACGATTATTTGTTATATATTTCGTATAATAGAAAGAGTATTTTTGTGGTTAATATAGGAAATATTTCATTTGCACACACACTTTGCACGTATGCGTATTTATTCAATTACACAGAGTTTGCTATCGTACATACAAACATAAATTTAATGTAATTAACACTTTAAAGGCTTTGTTTTTCAATTTAATTGTGATTTATTAATACATCCGTTGCGCGGGGAAGGCGAACGAACGATGATGCTTGGGGAACGATTGAGAACGCTGGGCGAACCACGTCGACGACGATAAAGTATTAAAGGAAATGAATAGAATTTAATTGAAATTGACATAAACATAAATTAAACACAACTGTCAATGATTTACATTTATTGCATTTTAAAGATTCGTACATAAATATATGCAAATGCATAAATACACATAGACATATCTGCATGCAAGTACGCAGCCATATGCACACATATGCATATGTAAAAAAAGAAAGAAGGAAAGCAAGATTTAATTTAAAAACAAAAACTCTTTCGCGTTTTATTCAATTTTTTTATTGAAATTTCTTTGTCTCTCGCATTTCTTTCCTCTTGCTTGATTGGCCTGCCTGTTAACTCTTAGTCAACTACAATTCTTCTTGAATTCAGTCATACGCGTGATAAGGCAAAGCAACAAAAAATAAAAAGAAAAAAGTACTTTTATATCTGTGATCTTCAACTTCCTTCAGCAGCAGCAGCAGCAGCAATAGCAGCAGCAGCCCTTTCGTAACTATGTAATCATTTTATGCTCGAACACCTTTGAATAAAAGTAATGTTTTTTCCACATACGCACTCTACAAGTCGGATATGTTCCCTCAGTATACTGCATCACCTGAAACGTACGTCACTTTAAATAGCATTTAGCCCAATGCTCCACCCATATGAATACGACGACAACTGCGTTTGTGCGTTTGACATGTTTGTACGGGTTTCCGCTTATCAGCGAGTTGTTCTTAAACAGGAAAAAGTCTCGTTGTAAATGCTTTTTAAATCTTATAAAAGTTAACTAACAATCAAGATATTTCACTTATCCCTGCCTCTTATCACTGAGAGTATAATTTAAATAAATAAACTTCTCTAGTCAGAGTTGATGGCAAACAAAAGATGAACTTCTATGGTAGCTTTGCAGTAACTAGACTACTGCGCACTACTATTGCTGCCGCTGTAATATGTAATAGGCAAAGAAGAGGTTACTCTGCTCTGTCATGCTTTTTTTTTTTTTTTGTTTTCTCTATCTTTTTCTTTTTCCTCGTACTTTTATACTTCAATAAAGTTCAGTTTAAGTTTATGTTCTTTTCCTTATCTCGACGTAATTGCTGAAGGGAGCGAAACGAATTCGTGAGTAGATTGTTGGAGAAATTATTTGTAAAAAACAGATTGTAAGAATTTTGTTAAAATTTTTTAATAGGCAAAGAAAGCAACATCGGAAAAATCAACAGGCCGTAGATACAAATTTTTGTAAGAAAAACATTCTTTTCGTTTAATCAAACAGATGAGAAAGTTTGTGCTGCTCTTGGGGCGAATCTTGTGCAAGCATTAATTGTGTTTTGTTAATTGGCCGCGTAGATTCATTTTGTTGTTGCTTGATGTTGATGCAGACGAAAAATCACTTGCAAGAATTTTTTGCAATCTCGTCTTTCTCTTTTCCAATTTTCTGGCCCTTGCAAGCAAGCTGTTGCTGGCATATCACATCCATGGTCAAAGTTAATCCACCTCCACCTTATTTTCTCATATGCAATCATGGATAGGGTTTTTTTCATTTCAGAAAGTTTCGAGAGATGATTCTCCCGTACTTGAGTACGGTCTGATAATTATCTGATGATTTGCTAACACTTATTATTCAATCATCAAGAAGAAATTTATTTGAGAATGAAAGCCAGAGGATGATGATGATGTAAGTTTTCCTTTCGGTTCAAACGGAAATTCGGAAAGAAGTTGTTTCAAGCCATGTCCGTCCGTCCGTCTACTTATATTTCGTTGTTAAAAATTCGTGATTGTCAAGACGTAAAGTTATGACTACTTCCATATGTTCTAGCTTTACGTCCAAAGAAGAAGCCACGTTTTGTCTATAATTACGCTTAAAAAAGCGGAACAGTTGGGAGAAAAAAATTCGTAAATATTTTTCTCAATAATTACTACTAATTGAAGCACGTTATTCTAGGACCTTGGGACCGTGGCAGTTATCAGCCGATGCGTATACGTTTAATTTAGAAAACAACTTTGCAACTGCTGAAATACTACTTATCCAAATGTTTTTTTTTGTTCGCCTTTAGTTCATTATGCAGCTTTCCAGTACCATAACGAAGCAATCTGTATGTACCGGCATCTCTCGTATAGCACGGTACTTGTAAAATACGGTTTCGATATTAGACGGTACAAGAATTCAGAATAATTATAGCACGATTTTTTTAATATAACAACGATTTCAAAAAATCGAATATGCACTGGAAATTTGAATTGCGTTCAATAAGGGAAATCCCCAAATTTATTGTTACTGAAAAATCTCTCATTTCATTTTGAGAAGTGACAGTATGCGTTCGAAAGACTGGAAAACGAAATTTATATCACACTTAGTCAAGCTTAGAAAGAGTTTTCTACTTTAGATTGTGTAGCAATTATAGTTTCGGCTTGCAAAGAATTAAATCAGTCTACGCTTCATGCGTGTTGGAAGCGTTTATTACCCCAAATGGTCCAGAGAGGAAACTTTGTGCCAACTGAGGGAGTAGAATTGAACAGAATAATATCGGTTGCTTCTAATTTAGAAGGCGACGGATTTTCAAATCTGACCATTGATTTAACTGATCTGCAAGAAAAAATAGCTTTAGTTAAAAAATGAGGAAATTTTTTGGTTGAAAATTTGAAAGAACATTGAAAAATTCTTTAGCTCTTTATAGAGAAATTCTGAGAGAATTGCAAGATCGAAACAGACAGGTATTTGCAACTATGTCAGATAAGTTGCGTAATGATGAAGAAATAACTATTGGAGAGGAGTTTCAACCAACCTTGAGAAAAAAAATAGAAGGTCTGTAATATTTGATGAGAGTGATAATGTAAATTAATCTCGTGGTCTTAATAAGCCGTTTCTATTTCTTTTATAATAATTATTATTCTTTGAATGTATTTTTGGTCGTATTTTTAACTTTTGTATTTCGTCATAACGTTTGATTTTCATTTTTTTTTTTTTTCTTTTTTAAATAAAAACTTGAAGTCAACTTACTTTTGCATTTATGTAGCATTTGGAATAAAATTTCAGATATCCTAAGAGTTTGCACATTAAGAGATGGTTTTCATACAACACGGTACACATTGCGTTTATTTATATTATTTCAAGGTTTCGCATAACAAGGTTTTGACATAACACAAGACAAGGCGTCAATACTACACGGTATACGTTGTTTCGTATAACACGGTTTCGATATAGTGAGATACGAATTAATTGTGTTATACGAGCTATGCGTATATTTCTGAATCAATTCGATTTTCCAGGAAGCAGGAAGCTCGTCTTGTGCTCAACTAATTTTTAAAATTATTTTGGTATGTTTTGGGCCAAGGACGAACGCTATTGAAAATGTTTCGGATCGGACCACTTTTTGGGCTCCTCCTCATATAAAGTGCGTGTGGACATGTTACCTTTTCATTATTTTATTGCTAAAGAATTTCTTCTCAAACTTTTTAATTTAATTCATATTATACAAATGCTTAGAACTTTTACTGACGATTATATGAATGTGGTGTTCTTAAGGATGGTACCAATTACAACAACTAAAGTGTTTGCGCCAACTATGAAAGAAAGAAAAATCTGTAATACTTCGAAGAAGAGCATGAAACTAGTACGCTCGACGTTTCATTGCGAAATTTGTCAGGCGAACGTTAGCATTTATGAATTGGGTTGCATTGAGGATACATTACTCCTCCTCAAATAGCATCTGTAAGGTTTCCATTCCTATGACGAAGACCTAAATTTGATTGCGTATGTTAATGCCTCCGTAAGTAGCTAGCGCGATATCAACAGAATATATTTGCCTTTGTCCTTAAATAAGTGGCCCATTTTTCACAAAAAATCCAGTCATTTATCTACTACGACAATAGCGCCTGATTAGTTTCGCTCTAGTTGAACTTTATCAAATATGAAAGACGAAAGTCACCATGTTTACGCTTACCAGCCCGTGTGTCTGGAGGCTAAATTTTGAAGTTGACTCTTACCAATGACTATCCTTTCAAGTTAGATTAATATCGCATTCGTCTCCGCATTGCTCGGCTAAGATAATTAAAGTCGACCAATTTCTTTCAAGGAAACATCCTTAAAAAAGACATCTTTAGACCTTTTCAAGAAAATCAACGTCTGTAGAAACTGTATCGTCTCATCACAAAGTTGTCGTTTGAATCCTAACAATTTCGAAATTTTTTTACTTACTTACGAAAGTATTCGGGAAATGTTTATGTAAATATGTGGAGAATTTGTTCAAAGAAAAGTTCTATCGAATTTTTTGTCAACACCAACAGTAGTAGTAAATAATATACGAAAAATAAGAAAAGCATTCATTGTTTATACCCAGCACTGAAGGATGACGATATGTCGGTTTGCATAATGTATGCAACATCCACCACTGACGGATGGCGGATGTTTTTTTTCATAACGTATGTAACACCCAAGGG